CGACGGGAACGAGGGCCGAGGGACTTTGGTGTTCTTCCCGATAACTGTACACACCGCGCGCGCGTCGAGTGCCGTGGGGCAAGGGATAGTGAGACGATAGGACCGGTGGAACTTTGGGAGTGCACGCTCGGTGCCGGACAATTCTGTGCTTGTAGTGTGTAGTGTTTGATGAGTATACTGTGTTCTCGCGGGATAAGGGACGTCAACGCAGGATCATCGGCAAACAGAGACCTTCGCGGGGGACTGTTCGTTGATCGCCTGTTGACCGAGGCTGCTCCGTTCACAGCCGAACGAGAAGAGGATCTCGCTGTCCGCGAGCAACGGAGGGCAACGCCGAGGAAGGTTCTCTGTCGAAGGGACGCGGCAGGCGGACACGTTGGATCTCGCGGCGTTGGCTGCTTACGGGGGCGTCTCGGGACCCAGGGTCGCGGTGGCGGGCACCGGGGTCCTCGCGCTGCCCGGCCTGATACCCGACAAGGGTTTATCATCGCCCGGAGGTCAGTCTAAAGCAAAGTCCGCAGGGCTGGCGGGTCTCGACAGCGAGGCGGTGCGCCGGTGGGTCGCCGAGGCCACGCGTACCGTCCGGCAGATTCCGCCTCCGGTTGTGGTACCCTCGAGCTCCCATCACCAGCAGCAACAGCAGCAACAGCACCGGCAGCAACAGCATCATTCCAGCCATCGACAACGTCAGGAGCCTAGCCCACCGTCGGTGGGCGCCTCCCTTTTCGCGTTGCCGTCGTCGATGACCCAGACCCCCAGCATGCATCTGCTGGAGAACAACAACTTGGTGGAGGTTGCGATGGCACAGCAGCAGCAGCAACAGACTCAGCAGCAAATGCAGCAGCAACAGCAACAGCAGAAACAGAAGCAAACCAGCCCGACGAACAACAACACGATCGAAGCGTGGAGATCGATCCAAGGTGGACACCAGTGGTGGAGCACTCCTGGTGGCGGCGTGCACCAGGAGCAGCCACAGCAAGTGTCCCCGATCGGACAGGTCGGCCAGACGCAGCAGACCGGCCTGGTGTGCCAGAGGCAGCAGATTCAGTCGGAGATCGACCAGCCGTTAGATTTCTCCGTTGGCTCGATGCAACAGCAAAGGGTGCACTCCAGGGCGAGGACCATCCACGAAAGGCTCCAGGGTAGGATGCACGACAACAACAACGGGACGACCGTCGGTGGACAGAAGATCGTCCGCGGGACAGGCAGCAGGCGAAGCTACAGCCCTAGCGAGGGTAGCAGCAGCAGCAGCGAGGACGAAGGTGTTTCCACTGGCGGCAGCCCTACCGGGCCACTTCGCGGCGCTGAAAACGGTGAGTCTTCGACACCGAGTTTCGTTCGACGTGCTGTTCGCCGGTTTTTCGTGGAAGCTGAACGCGTCGCATCACGTCGCGTTGATAACCGCGGATGACGCAACGTATTGTACAATCGTATACACGGATCAAGAGGTAATCAGGCGGAGCCGTAATTAGCCAGGTCGGAATTCGAAGCGGTGTTCCGTTCGTTTGTTCGCGAGCTGCTTCGGGATTCGTTTCGCGTGGATGTCGGAACGATTGAGAGATCGCGCGAGCGGATTTAGGATAAGACCGACGCGCGAAGCCAGTTCTCCAGCCGAATCGTGCGTTGCGGCCGAACGCGATGCAGCCCGTGTTTCCTTCTTTATCTCCGGTGCTTTCTCAATTCGGAGGAATTGAAAGATTGTCTGTTTGAATGAGCTTATCTGGGCGATAAGGTAATCGATGACTAAGATGTTCTAATTTTCCGTATCGATTGTTTAATTGCCGGGAAATGGGTTCGGCATTAATGTTATCAGTAATTTTTACTTGCTCGTACTGCGCGCTACGCTCGATTATTTAATTACTATTTGATCGGACGTTTAATTCTTTTGGAGTAGCCATTCTTGTCCGCGATAGGATATCGTTTGTACATCGTCGTATTTTATTGCAAACTTCGCGAACGTGAGTCACGTTGGTCGATATCGCCGTTCCTTCTCGGACCTCTTCTCTACGTGACTCTCGCTTTCGGAGCTCTTCCGATTACGATATTATAATGCTCGCAGCATTTTCGTTTCCGTTTTATTATCAATCCTGACGCTCAGGTGCCCGCGCGCGTTCCTGTCGTCTCTGACATCATCGATTTTCTGAATACTTGTGACGCAACCTCGCAATCTCGTTTCCACTAATTAATCCCTTCCGATCGCGGCACTGTCGGATCACTCTGTCGCCTCATCAATAAGCATATTAACCGCGGGCAAAAACGAACTTTCAATATTCGACGCCAAATGTCACTCGTTCTCTCCGACACAACGCGCCGGCAAATGTGACTTAATTGTTTCTATATACAATTCCGTGATTTATATACTATATTATAGGTCGGGTTGCACAATGCCTTGCAATACTGAAAAATAATTGGAATTACGATATAATTGACTGGCAGTTGTGTCGCGGCTACGCGGAGCACTTGAATTCCACGCCGCAACAAATATGTTAATCGCGGGGATCGAAAAAGCCCGTTAAAGACTTACCGACGAATATTGTTGTTATTACGCGGCCCCATTAGCTCGTTATCTTTGGAATATTATACGAAAAGTGTGCATTAACATATCCCGCTGTGATCTCGCATAAACAAACATATTCGAACAACACCAAATACTACATCCTCCAACTACTCCATTTTCTTCATGATTATCACACAATTTACGTATACTAAATCCAGCAACACAACTCAAGGAAAGAACAAAATACAAGTTAACTTCACGAAGTTCATTAATCAAACTACACTGAACAAAAACGAATATAACATTACTGAAACAGTACACTAAATATTAAAAACTACCTTCAATATCTCCCGACTACGCGTTACAATGCAACACCGAATCTTTCATCTAAACTGTAACAAACATTACAATAGAAACATTCCGCAGATCACAAAACACAATGAGATCCACTATCAGGTTAGCCTCGATACTGACACATTAGCTTCATCCAGAAGTCCTCAATCGTTACCGCGACGTTCGAGCGACTAAATCATCCCTCCGATAAACCAATAACAAACCAACTCTCCCACATTTTCCAAAGACAAACGGAAACCAAACAAAGTGCGCAAGGGGTTAACCAGTCCCGTCCATTTACCGTCGACTCGGTTCACCGACGAAACCGGAGCTCGCGGACAAGACAAACGAACGGTGCGTCATGCTCCCGCTATTTGTCCTCACGGAAACACGAAACGACGTCCGCGGGTGTCGTGCATGATTTTGGGGGAAAACCGTGGCCCGATCCGTCAGCTGTCAATGCCCGCAGCCGATCGCCACCCCCGCGCAATCTCGCCGTGGCCTTTGTTGCCCGGGGAAATGGTCGCATTGTGCATTCGTTCCATTGTGAGCGCGCGTGCAACCCCGAGCCTCATCCGCGATGTAAGGCGTTTCTACCTGAAACGAGCGTTCTCTCCGCACTCCGCTACGAGTATAACGCTGCTCGCTTCCATACGCAAATACGCGCGCGTTTTACGACGGGAAGGCCAATTCCCTTTTCCGTCTCGTCTCGCCTCGCTCCCTTCGGAACGATTCCACGCCGCGATAACGGAATTCCTCGCGGATAGATTCGCGCTCGCGCTCCGCGGCCGCTGAAGACACTTGTCCGCTTGAGAACGAATTAGTCCGTCTAACGCAGGGTGACCAGACATCCCGATTTTTCAGAATTTATTCATCGCTGTCTGTAGACTAGATGTCTTTAAGAGATACTTTTGGGGCTATTCTATTGTCTTCAAATGTTCACAGTTTCTATTTCTACTCGATTGCTACGATTGTTGAATCCTTCGACATATCTATCGAATCGTATTACTCTATCGTTGTTCTATCGAAGAGCTTAGAAATAAGTTCCCTAGCATAGGTGTCTAAAATGTTTCTTCCCTCATTCGTCGATTTCCATATCCCATGTTCCAATTTTCAATTACATCATCGTCTTAATCTACAATCTTGATAGATCTACAATCTCCGGCTTGTCCTTAGACTAGCGGAAAGTATAAACACAGAAGATTCTTCGGCATACATAGAATTGCTCTCTTAGAATTTATTGTTTGAACACATCGTATATTCACTGTAGGATTACATGTTGATACACGAGCATATTTTACTCTTGCTACAATAGTGATTGCTGTACCAACAGGAATTAAAATGTCTAAATACGTCTGCCCTTCCTCTTTCCTGAATTTTCATATCCCCTGCCCCGACTCTTCGTTGGATCAGTCCGATCGCCTCGCTGTAACGACAATCCAGGTATTCGTTTAGCGACGGGGAATCGCGTCAGCCTAGAAAACACTGGATTCTCCTTTGCTCGGGCACGAACGATCGGCTGACGCGCGCGCCCACTTTTCCATAGAGCAGAACGTGTTCCGCCGCTGTTATCGGCGACGATAACAAACATTATTCCGTGGAAACGCGCGCGGATTCGCTGGCTCGCTCGCTCGCTCGCTCGCTTATTCGTTAATTGAGCGACGTGAGCCGACCGGCGATCGGCTTATCGAGGGGGAATCTCCGTGTACTATCTTTGCGCCCCGAGCCGATCAAAGTGTGTCAATAATTTGCGCGTTATTGCCGGCGTGAGTCATACTCCATTCCGGGTTTAACAGTTTTTCGGGTAATGGCGATGCTGGGTTTGATTATTAGCTTGATTGGAGCTGGAGTCGGATGGCGCTGGAAGAGGCCGGCGATTTCTAGTCGTTCGCTACCAAATGTTGAAAAAGGAGTGCCCGAAGAAATATTTTACACTGGCTATTACGGTTTCTTATAATTAAATTAATTAGCTGGCGAATGTTTCGTCCGCCGTACCATCTCTCGGATCCTCTTTTTCGTTCCTTTAATTGTTAGCACGCTGGCATCGGGGAAAATTCTTCAGGGATTTTTTGCGATTCCATTAGAGAGGCAGTTTTACAAACGGCGAATCAGTTCGGTTCACTGGAATCGCGCGTGCCCCGAGCACGTGCACGCGCAACCGCGTCGGGCGACGAACAACCGGTAGCAGCCTGGAAAAATCGCGACGAGCGTCGTCCGCACCGTTTGCCCGCGATAAATCCTCGATCGCCCCGTAAAAACTAAATATTATTGTATTTGTATCTGGCCGATGCGTCGAAGTTATCTCGGAACGCGTGTTTATTATCGCGGGTTAACGTGTGTCGTCGCGATACCGCGAAAATAAGAATGGTCGCAATTAAAACGATACGGGCCGGCCTCGCGTCATCTGATTCTAAACAGACGGATCTTTATTAGTTTCCAGAAACGTTGCAGCGCGAACGCGGTGCCGCGCTGATAACAGTGTTTCCTCTCGCCGCGTAGCTCGTTCGAAAATATCGACGACAATAACGACCAATTTACACGGCGATCGCGAACTGGTTCGATCCCGAACGGCGCGAAATGTAGGCATTTATTCGTCCCCGATAAAACGATACCGTTCGCCGATTAATCCCCGTCGAGTATCGATAATCGGCGGATCCAGGAAAACCGAGTCGAAAGAAATTATCTTTGATTTCCGTATTATCTCGGCTTAATCGGCGGACGAGCGGGCGGTTTCTCGAAGCCGTCGTTCCCGCGCGCGAGCCTGTCTACATAATTGCACCGATATTCAAAAATACGACGGTAAATAAGAACAACCGTGTAGTCAGCGGCCGCGCGGAGAGAAAAAAACGTTGCCCGATATCGTATCTGTCGATAAGGTACTTGCCTTCTAAGGCTTGTTTGAATAAATATTCCACGTAAGCGCGCGCGTGATCGCGCCGGTTATTTTCGATGAGCTACGCGCGATACCACGAAAAATCCGTTTCTTTCGTTGTCCCCGCGGTTTTTTCTTCTCTCGAGTGAAAACGTGGAGTGCTCCAGATAATAGGTACGCCGCGACCTTATATAACGACCACAGGCTCGGCTCCGCCGCGTTATTTACCTGTCACGTTGTTATCATCCGCGAGCGACGCGTTGAAATTCAGATTACCGTTCACCTCTGTTTTCGCTCCTCTTCCATCGCGCGGCGAGACACGTCGAGTCCTTCGGGCACCGGCAAAAGTCCTCGATTCTACTTCTAGGATTACAATGGAATGCGATCCTTGGACTATTCTTTGTAGAATTTTCAATCACAATGATTGCGAGACAATGTTGCAGTCGAACGACGGATTTCGCTTGCGTTTCGGATTCGTTATCTCCTATCGTGGAAACCGATTTGAACATCACTCAGAAATTCGACGGTTCGATCTGGTTTTTCAATAGTCACTTAACACGACGCGCGAGCTGGTGCCGGCGATAAGGCTGTCGAGTCTGCTCGATCAGATT